CCAATAGAAGAAAGGCGTGGTCTCTTTAAGAAAAAATGTGCAACATGGCGGAAATGGCGCGAAAATTCGAATTTCGCAAAATAACTTTGGCAATAGTTTAACAATTAAACGGTTTTGGGGGTTCCTAATATCCCCAACAGGCCAGTTCTCGAATTTCTGTACCAGGTGTGGCCTCTAGATTTTTTTTGGCAGCCCTGCAGATCGGTGTGGGGAAGGCAAGTGGAACTACGGTTGCACGTACGACTGATCATTTTCACAACGCCCATTCATGTCACCTTGTCAGATTTTACTGGAATCCCATTACAAGATTAGAGTGTGCGGCGTAAACGTCCTGGTTATCTCATACCAAGGACGACTTGTTAGGGAAGGACAGGAAAGGAACCAAGAACGTAAAATTAGTGTATAACTTTATACAGAAGTCGGAATATAATCAACAGATATTCTAGTGACTAGCATTTTTAAATCTTCGTTTTCGTTACCTCTGAATCTTTATATATCTTTCTGGGAGTCAATTGAAAGGCTATGCTGCCAAACTGCTGCATGAAACAGCTTTCCGTGTATTCATCGGAAACTCGATTGAATCCCCACTGAACCTCTCGTTTACGATAGTCCCCGGGACTGCCTTAGGGTCTTATGTAATCTTGTGAATAGTTTCCTTGAGGAAACTATACCACGATACCTTAATGACCACTAACCGGGCTGTGAGGGGGCCTTTGCACAGCGCATTCTGTTGAAGAATGCATAAACGGGAGATTCACTTGAGCTTCCGGTTTAAACCAAATTTGTTAAATTCGTACAATTTGGATTCAAGCAGATCAAAAGGTTGGCTGAAGGGAAACTCTGGGACTGCGCTCACTTGATGAGCTCCATGAAGAGTGAAACTGGTCATCGGCTACCGAAGGCAGCATGCCTTTGGGTAGCTTCATTCGAGAAAATATTTTATCCACTTTGAACTAGTTGTTGTGCACAGTAATAAGTTATAGTAACGAGCAACCAATTGTCCTGTGATCTTCCCACGGCCACCTAGCAGTCCCTACATTGATCTAATGGAGACTTAAAATATGCTATTATCAATCTATTGCAAGACGATTTGCAAACGATTTTAGGGCGATATACTTGGTAAATCAGGCAGCAACCGAAGTTAATGCAGGGAGAGCATGCGGTTTCGGTGCAAACTTCCATAGGATGAAGTCTTTCTCATTTCCAGTCTGCTTGAGATACAGTTGCTGGCCATTTATTACTGCGTTCACGGAACGACTGTAATCTCATTACGTTTCCTTCTTCCCACATTCGAGATTTCGGGGACCGGCTTTTATCTGCGTGGAGCATTTTGCCGTATTAATTTCCTCTCTGTTTTCAGTAGCTAAAACGCAGCTTATTGTTCTTAAGTTACTTGGTTTCAAGTGTTTGTTTACGACGAACATACCGCGTAATCCATCTCGAGTCGCAGCTTGCATACAGCGCACATTCATCCTGTCCTGATTTATAGACCGATTTTGCCCTAGCTAGTTTTTCGTTGTTACAAACGTTTTGTAAGATCCGCGTGGCTAAGGATCTTAAAGGTTAATTCGAGTCATCAGATTATATGTATTTCTCACTCAGTAAACAGTAGGAACAGACGGATGTTGGCCGCAGATCCTGTATTGTGGGCTGATTCTATGAACGATTAATCAGAAATAATCTCGTCGAAAACGGGTAGTATCTAGTAAGTACCAAATGATATACAAACGCACGAATACGGACAGCCAGACAGTGTAAATAGGTCAGAAACAGAGATAATGGTGTGGAACGGTTAATACGTTCGGGAGATAACGGAAACTATCTACAGTTTTCATCTGCTAGCATGTCGAAGTAATTCGTGACACGTTTCAAATCAAAATGCGCCCTCAGTTCCGTTGAAGACAAAATTCAAACGATCACAATCAAGAGAAACGTAATATACAAGTAATAATAAATGAGGTTTGTCGGGAGGGGCACGAGCTGGTTCAGTGGATAGCGCGGTTCTCCATTGTCCGAGGGGTTCTGAGTTTGATCCCAGGATTACTCGCTTTTCCGTTGGGAACAAGCGACAGGGGAGCCAACGTGCATTATGATACACAGATGTCAGTCAAGCTATTCATGAGCAGCCAAACAATTAGTAAAACTAACCGCTTATTGGCGTTGATTCACGGCAGAGAGCCTCGGTTAGCTCCAGAAGCCGGCTTTTGGAGTGTGCATTTCTTTATTTCGTTTTCCCTTTCAGGAAGTCTTCAACTTACCGGCAGTTTAGGCGCAGTAATGAAAGAGTCTGTGACGATTGCACGCACGTTTACAGGTATTTTTGCTTCATCGGGAGCGCCATGTTCAATCGATGGACAACCTCGTCAACTTCTGCGTCCGGAGGAGGCCGAGGCAGCAGGAAAATTCCTTCGTCATGCGGAAATTCATCTCCATGTTCCTCAGGGAGCTACTCCAAAGGTACCTTCTTGTGACTGTCGTTTTTGGTTTGTGCCCTAAATATAAAATCAACCGGGGCACCCTGAGGTTATTATTGTCCTTTTCGGGTTTTTCAGTGCGAGTGTTCAATAAGTTCTTCAGTTTATTTAACAATGAACTCAACCGTTACGTTGCTCACTCATCATCACCATCACAGACAGCATGAAATTGGTGTTCAACACCGATGCTTCACTGCCGTACAGCCCTTATTCATTCCGGTGGATTAAGTCAGTTCCCGCAATTCATTCAGCTTGCTACTACCGCCATAGAATATAGGCTGCAGGTTTTGTTACTGGGGTGCGCATTCTTGCATCTAATCTACCACTTTTTACTTTGCACAGATTGTTCGCAAAGTTGCCTATCAACTGGTCAACGTGGAGAAACAGCCACCCATAATCGTTGGTGTCGATAATTTGAACTCGTACGTGGGGCATCCCGTGTGGATCACCGACCGTCTGTACGAATCCGAGACCCCACCAGGTGTTGTCATGGGTCTAGCATGGACTTCCATGGGTGGGTCTGTTCTGTACATCGAGTGTACCAACAAGGTGCCGTTCAGCGATGTACCTGCGCAAAGCGAACGAAAAACCGACGACGCTTCGTCTGATTCCGACGTGGATGAGCCAAAGCTACCAAAGGGTACGTCGATGGACTCGTTGTTCTATTCTCTCTTCTGATGCTTATGGTTTGTCCGAAGAAATTTTTATTGATAATTTGTCGTCTGTAGGTTAGTGTTGCAACTGACCCTTGATGGACTTGTCTTCCAAGACCGTTGAACAGCGGTCTGTTAGTCTGTCACAAACTTTTGAAGTGTGCATTTCTTTATTTCGTTTTCCCTTTCAGGAAGTCTTCAACTTACCGGCAGTTTAGGCGCAGTCATGAAAGAGTCTGTGAAGATTGAACGCACGTTTACAGGAATTTTCGCTTCATCGGGAGCGCCATGTTCAATCGATGGGCAGCCTAGTAAACGTCTGCGTCCCGGGGGGGCCGAGGCAGCAGGAAAATTCCTTCGTCATGCGGAAATTCACCTCCAAAAGTACCTTCTACTGACTGTCTTGTTTTGATTTGTGCCCTAAACGTGAAATCAGCCGGGGCATCCTGGGGTCACTGCTGTCGTTTTTCGGGTCCGTCGGTGTGAATGTTCAATAAGTTCTTCAGTTTATTTAACAACGAACTCAACCGCTTCGTTGCTCACTGTAAAGAATTATATGGTTTATGTTCGCTTTCGCGGAAACCTGTCACATTCAGGCGATTATCACCGTCTGCCGGGACTGTGAGCGATGTGCACTTTGGGTCACTGATTAATCGTGAACTTGTGAGCTCCAGTCCAATGCTCTTGGTTCGGAGGTTGTGAAGAGTCAGGCACATTTTCCATCAATTCTATTTTTTACGGAATCCATTTTTGTACATACTCAATCTCTCGGCCCGTTTAATGTGTAACGGATGTGAATGTATTATATTCTGCAACCACAGTCCCTTCTGGTTAGAATGTTCCAGGTCTTCCGTGAGAATGCTTAAGCTGTTAACCGAATTGAACTTTTGGACACCATGACCTTGTCCTCATTCAGCGTGATGCAACAGCTGACTGAGTCTTTGATTTCCATTGAAATCAGAAACCACGATAGCTGGCATTAAGTCATCCACACCTTCTAGGTTCATTCGATCGGAGGGCGGCTGTCGTATGAGCTTTCCATTTTTCCCCGTTTATTTAGGATGGCCCATCCGCTGGCATAACTATGGTAACTGCCCTGCTCAGTCTGGCGTGCAATAAACCTGTGCGACCCGACTTGGCAATGACCGGAGAAGTCAGTCTCACCGGAAAAGTACTACAGGTTGGAGGAATCAAGGAAAAGGTTCTTTCGGTGAATTGATCACTACCCACCCTCACTTACAATTTCGCGTTCTCAATCAGCCCAGTGCTGTTCGTTTCGTGTTCGCTTAACCGTATGATCAACAGCGTCATATAACCGAACCGAACCCGACCCAAATGTCAAGCCCGCTTACTGTGATTGTCAATAGAGGTTTCTAAGTGTACCGTTGTCAGTGAGCCGTTATAGTCAGAGTTATTGAAGGCACATGTGACGGGGCCTTCTCTTTCACGTCAAGGTTGCAATATTATCCGCATTCCATTTCCTATCGATAATTCTACCATCCGCCCCGCCCCATGAATGATGAATGCAGTTTCTGCCTTTGCAACTGGATGTTTTACTCCTCGCAAAGCATGACGCGAAACGGGAATGCTGTGTACCTGTGACTGTGATAACTACACTATCCCATGGTACGATCGAGCTCTTTCGACTAAATTTACTCCTGAATCCTTCGATAATTAGCCCGACATTAGAAAAGGATTCTGTCGAGAAGATATTTGGCATTCCGCGGCGATACTATCTTGACGGGGTCAGAGTGAATTCTGGAGCAAGTTCTGCCCACTTAATATCAACAATTGCTCGCGACAGACTAAATTTGGCTTAGTTTTGACTGTGCATCATTTCTCCTACATTATTATTCCCAGATCAAGCATTATCAACCCGGGTCCCATCAACCCATCAAGGGTTGCGTAATGGTTGATGTGTTGGAAGTGTGAATGCTACTGGTCAACCATTGGTTTAAACATAGTTAAAGTTTACTGTACTAGAACGACGTATTTGCATGGAGGCTTTCGAACTCTTCTTTCTGGCAGTTTGGTAGATAATCCCTCCTCATATTTGGTACCATTTCTCCTCTCTGTTTTGTTTTCATCGCAAGGCGAAACGCAGTGGAATCAAATACATCATTGTACCTGAAACCAACCGGAATGACTTCGATGATTTGGCCCCATACATCAAAGAATACCTGACCGTACATTTTGTGAACCACCACAGTGAAGTGTTCCCCGTGGCCTTCCCGTGATACTTGGTTTTCTTCTGCAGAAAATTCATTCTTAACTCATCCCTGTGTTTGAATTGCCTCATCACCACCCATTCCTTTATATAACTGTCTAGTTTTCACGAAGGATTCCCAGCGCTGTTATTTTTAAACGATGCTGTATTTCAAACATGGCTTTTATTCAAGTTTGGGATACTCTCTAGATATCACTGAGATTGGATGTGGTCAGATTTGTTATGGTTGGATATGAATTCCCGGAATTCTTTAAGGAGATTGTCAAAGTTGAGTCCGCAGACACTTGGGTCTTTTGCGTTTTCAGAATAGATAAGCGACTTGTGTGTGATTTGTATAAATCTGTGTGGGCCTCCGTGAAGAAGTAGACGCGTCATTGTGGAATCAGTGAGTGTGTTATATGGGAGATAAATAAGTCTTTGTGAAGTTAGTACCCCCTAATACTAACATCTTGTCTTGCGCAATCCATGGTCTTTTCCAATCTAAGTAGCTTGCGAGTGTACTCGTAATGCACTCCTCTTAAGTTTTGCCCTTCTTGAGGCTCATCAGGTAGGTGCAGTCCCCGAGTTTCCGTTAACCTTATGTTCTACTTGAAACCAAATTGCACGAAATTAGCGAAATACACTTATTTTCAAGTTCATTTGTTTTTTTCGAGAGATTCAACTTTCGAGCGCTTTTCATCCCTTGAGAGATGAGTCAGTATGTATTCGTTACAGCGAGAATGACACACCGAGAACCGTACTAAATCGTCGTCTCATGTATAGATTCTTTCTGTAAGGGATTCTCGACTATGAATATACATAGACTATGAATATACATATCTGTTCAGCTCATTGCTTGACCGTCCTGAGCCCGCTTCACTGAGACCTGATCGAGGTGTTCAGTGACATGGATTGCCGCTGCAGTGATAAGGTACCGGCCGGGTCGATCCACTGACCCTCAGCTTCTTTTGCTTCAAACACGCATATGTGATGTAATGCATTTTGTCAATGAAAGAAAAAGACGATTGTGTGAGAGCTGACATCCTGGTGATCTGATTGGCCCATACATGTGCAGCGACGAGTGGTTCAGCCAATCAGTAATCAGGAGTTAGACTATTTCCACCGACCTAGCGTAGGCAGCGTGAACGAGACTCACCAATCCAGTAATCGAAATCCTAGTACATCATCCGTGCTACACACTACTGACAGCGTAACATGGACAAAATGAGGTGCATAATTTAATTAAATTTTTCACCTATGCCTCTAATAAGAAAGTCAAGCAGTTTGCATCTTGACTAGGACTAGATTGATGGGACAGGACCAGTCACATCTTGTTCTCATGCATAGGGCACGCTGGTGGCTCATACGCACAAGTTTGTAGGGCATTGTCGAATGTTTTTAGCCTTCCTGAACGCTGGATGTGGTAGGTTTGAGTATAAACTCTGTTCAGTCGTTGATCACCTGACCCGAATAGCGTGGTAGGCGTCCTGAAAAGCTTCTATTTCGTCCCGTTTCTTGTCCACGTAAGTTTTATCGTAAATTCAAGAGCATCGATACGTCGTCTGGCAGTAGGCCTTTTCAATTGACAGAGAAGTATAGCCAACCAAGGACCGTTAAAGAAAGTTTTGGGTGGTGCGCTAATGCGTAATAGACGGATGATCTTCAGGCAATCGTGGCACTACTTCAGACCAGGATACTCCTCTGAGGACTACTATTCTCTGCTGATTGCTCAGAGGCCCTTCGTCAAGACGGCTCACTTGTTGTGGACTGGAGAGTCCATGTTTCGAACTCGAGATAAACGCCGCGATTGCTATTGTCTAGGCTTGGGTATCCTGGCAGTATCTGTACCCGTGTATCCACTCTGTTGGCATGGCAGCTAGGCACCGTAAATATGAGCATCTCATGAAACTCCAGTAGGTAGTCTTGAACCCGCGATTTATCGGTTAGTAGTTTGAATACTTAACCGTCCGGCCACGGTGGCCACCCCGTGTTTCGAAGTGTTCGGCTGGCAAACTACAGAATACTTATTCGGCATTATTAATCTGAAGAGAACCCACTCAGTTGTAACACCAGGTAAAATCGTACAAGGCAATGCACAAAATTCAATCACGTCACGTCTGATTTTTACAATCCCGTCAGATAAATGGACTGGTTACGAGCAGCTGTTCATTTTACAATCGGCTAATGCGTTGGCCGATTTGCTCACGTTAGCAAGCAATCACAGTGGAATCGACCAGTTTTCCTTTTTCTGTCCGTTTTTCTGTCTAATTGAACATGTTGTTCGGCTAATGGTTCACTCCGGTGACGCAGACAGACGGACGAGATCAAATTTCGACGGGTGTTTCACTGTTACTTATGCAAATGAATATCTGTTGGTGGTTGACTCTGCTGACTAACAGAATCTATTGAATTTTTCGGTGGTTGGATGGTCGATTCACAAATCATCGTTTGCGCATGGCTGTCAAAACGCGAGTCCTTATCGTGGTGTTGTATCGAGGGTGGCCGTCTATGGGTTACGCCTGCACTGAGCCTGCCAGACTACGGGATAGGAAAAAGACAGAGAACTTGGGACACGGCTGTATTGCCAGGACAGAACATACAGAGCGTCTGTGTAATATATATTGGATGACTAAATGGCCAAATATGGTCGTTCACTTGTTCGCTCCGTACAGCCAATGGTGGTGTTCCGGTCGTGAACGATCTCAGGCCCACAGCGCTGGTCGTATGCTGCTAAGCCATGTTTAGTGAGAGCCGCCAACCCACCTACTTTCCAGACGTGTCGAATCGATGGTGACCTTGGGGATGCGTCAATCTCTGCACGTGCTTTTTTCTGTCTGGGCGCGTCCTGATACGTGTTCAATCCGGTATTGCGCACTGGTGATCAACTTGGATAGGGTGGTTGCTATTCTGGCAAGAGTAGGTCCGGTTTCAACAGCGAATAATTAGACTTCCTGATCGCTTGATCAATTCATGACTGTTGAAGTGTGTGCGTTATTACTTGCGAGTAGTTGCGGGATTTGTGGAATGCACGTTCACGTCGCTCTCTTTCGAACGATCGTCCTCATGTCTTGGCGCAATCATTCTAGTGAGTCCATGCCGATGGGCGGTATCAAGTACATCGTACTATTGTGGACACTGTTGGTAGCACGTGTCATGTGCATACAGAACGATCACCCAACCATCTGAGCATGCTGTACCCCGACGTCAAGTTCAGGATGGAGTCAGCCAATGGTGGTGCAACTGTACTTAAAACTGGGAGTAGCTAACACAATACCACTGAGGCATTTATAAGCGCTTCAGTAGTTTCGCTGCTGTCAGTTATAGAAGAACCCTGATGCGAGCACTCCTCACCAGGGGCTAGATGGCTCATTGGTTGCAGCGTAAATTCACTAGCCAAACGAGCCGTGGTTCGAACCAGACCTCTGGCTGTCTACTCCCCTGTCCAGACTTGGGCAACCTGGTAGTGTCCTTCCCGTGCTTCCTTCGGGTGGCATGACAGTTAGCACCGAAACGATGATACAGCTAGACGATTATTACTACTTATTACTCCCCATCAGGGAGGAAACATTGTGCGATTTGTGCCTATTCGAAATCGGACAGGATACTACCCACCTGAATAAAAATTTCACCCGCGTTACGTTAGACGAGTTTGGGAATGGGCTCGAATCTGATCGCATTCAATCTCCAGCGGTAATGTTCGGATGCTTGCCAGTGGCTTTGTTTATTCTCGACGTTTTTTCTGTAGGGTGTTCGCTACTTGGTTCGACAGTCCCGATGTGCACAGCGGGG